AGAATTTTTTCTTTCCTAAGAATTTTTAAAATTCATTTTAAGGTTTTTACCATTACCTAATAAATCATGTTTTTAATAGCTGCTATTAAAGTCTTTGATAATTCTAACATCTGGGTTATCTAGGGGTCAATATCTGTTGTCTTCTCCCTTGAGAACTGGTGAGATTTTTTGTTGTTCTTGCTATGTCTGATAATTTCGGATTCTGTCTTGGACATTTTGACTATTATGTTTTAAGAGTCTATCCCATTAAAATCCTTTAGAGATGGTGAGGGGTTTTTAATTTTAGTACACAAGCCAACCCAGTGAGGTTATAAGTTCAAGTTCTTTCTCACTTTACATAGGCAGTGGTTCCATTTTCTCTTCAGTTTGCAAAGCCTTTGCTATGTTGAATTTGCCCCTTCCATTCCCATTTACGTTGTCTAGGACTTGGGCACAGTGATTCATATCATAGTTCTGTTCTGAAAGCCTCTCTTGTACTTCTTTGGCTGTGTTTGACACATGTATAACTTACAGGTGAGAACTTGGTTCACATACTTAGAGATCTACTTTTCCCTCTCTCTCTGTGATGTTCCCTGAACTCTCTAGCTCCGGGGACCCTTTTCTTCATTCCTAGAGCCAGAAACATGAAGTTCTCTCAGTTTTAGTTTCCTGCTGTATCTTGAGGTGAAGTGGCAAGAGAGAAAAAGAAAAGAACAGACTCTTCTACACTCTTCTTTTCACAGCAGGGACCCTCTGACTGTTTCCTCTGTTCAGAACAATGTTTTCTCTCTTGATTTTCAGTGGTCACTCTGCAGCAAGGAAGGGAGTTTGATGGCTGGGGCTAGCTTCAGCACATGGTGGGAAGAAACAAGAGAAAGAAAAAATGTATTCTCCCCACATTCTCCAGGAGCCTTTTGCTCTAGTCCTGTGGCAAAAAAGAGAGAGAGAGAGAGAATTTCTCTGACTTTTTGCTGATCTTGTCTGCTGCAGTTTCCGTTTGGCTCACCCTTGGGTCAAAACAAGAAATAAAAAAAACCAAAAATCCAGGATACTCAGCACTACTTTGTTAGTTGTTCTTTACTTCCCTCTCTGATCTGCCTGCTGTTATTTTTTAGAGTACTTTGTTAGTTGTATTTTGTTCAGAGTTTTTGGTTATAATCAGTGGAATAGAGAGACACTAAAGTGAGCTTATTACCCTATATTATTTCATCTTTGCCAGTATCAGAAGTCAGATTGTTTTCTTTTTAAATAAATCAACATTATTGATGTATAATTTTTTGACTAAATGTATCCATTTTAAGTGTATAGTTTGAATTTTGATGAATGTGATAGTTGGTTATACAAGAGAAAACATTTAAGAAATAGAACATGCCCTGGCCAGTGTGGCTAAGTGGTTAGAGCATTGGCCTGTGCACAGAAGGGTTGCGGGTTCGATTTCCGGTCAAGGGCACGTACCTAGGTTGCAGGTTCTATCCCCAACCTGATTGGGGTGCCTGCAGGAAGCAACCAGTGTGTCCCTCTCACATCAGTGTTTCTCTCTCTCTCTTACCCTTCCCTCC